ACCACAGCTTGCTGGTGATCTCTCCCACCTCCAGTAAGTCACAGGACATGTCTGTATACTTAGTGAAGACCCTTTGGATATGTTTTCTGCCAGTCTGATTCCTTTTTCATGCGCAGACTTTAAAAGAAAAATAAACTGACATCTCATTATGGGAGGACTTCACTTCAAGTATGGACAGCAGAGAGAGGCTTTGACAGAAGTACGCCTCCTGCCTTCTTTTCCCCAGGATCCCAGTCTTTACCCTGAGCTCTTTCGATTGTTGCTGATGGTGGTAGTTAGAAAGTGAATAAAAAGGAGGCACATTACATACTATGGATGAACCTGTAGAACTTTTCATTCAGTGGAAGAGGCTGGTGTAGGGGAGTGAAACGAGGCTTCCCCTTACCTGTCTAGGTTCCTTGTCTGGGCTAAAAATTAAACTGACATAAGACAGATTAACAGGAGAAAAACATATTTAACTATATACATATACATATGCATCGGAGTCCCACAAAACATGGGACTCCCACAAAATATGGGAATCCATGAAGAGTGAGCTGACAAGTTTATCTAGCATCCTGAGCTACAAAAAAAATAGGGACCCAGGACCTTTGGTGGGGGAGGCAGCAACAACCCTCGGAGAGGGGGAAGGGAGGAAATGCATCGTGAACAAAGACTGTCTGGCTATGCAGATACAAACTCTTCAGGTAATAAAAACTATCTCAAAGCAGCCCTCTTGCTGATACCAGTAATTTACTACTGTAGATTTTCTTTATGAAAAAATTTTCTATGGATGTAAATTTCTTTTACAAAAGGAAATTTTTTCAAAGCGATTACAGTGTTAGCAGTTTCTCAGAATAACCAGCTCAAAATGAGCCAAAGGGTTATATTTTGGGGTGGCATATTCTGGTCCCCTACAGTCATATTTCAGGGTGGAGTGTCCTGAGCCCCAACATTGAACACTCATGAGGGAGAAGGGGATGGGTGAGTTGTGCCTTGATTGTTAAGTTGCTGGAATATCAGGTCTCTTGATTTCTTGTCCTCCTGCTATTTGGTCATTAACCAGCTGCCCAGGAATTCAGTGCCGAAAGGATGGGGGAATAAAATTAAAACAAGGAAGCATTTCCATTAGAGAGTAGACAAATCTGATTTTATTAAAAAAAAAAAAAAAGAGTTTAGCTCAATTTTATTTTTCACAATGGTAAAAAGAGACTGACCCCTTTTCTCTACTTTCCAGTGACTATATTTTAATAATCTGATTTCTCAGGATATCTGACTAGTCAAGCATTTCCTGACCCTAGTTACTGAGGCTAATTGAGAGTTAATTATATGTCTGCTCATTATTCTGCTTACTTCCTAGTCTGAAAACAATAGCAGTTGCTCATACTCTAGAACTGGGCCAGGAAGTAGCATCACAGGGTACGATTTGAGATGTTAGAACCGCTCCCACCTCGCTATCTTTTCCGCCACCTAATCAGACTACCTGAAATGATACCATTAGAGAGTGATTATGTAGGCTGAAACATGGGTATGTGTTTTTCTCAGGAAGAGACAATCTTATAAATTTTTTTAAAAAAGTTTTTCACTTTTTTTTTTTTTTTAGTTGGTGTACATTGCAAGTTATAAATCTAGTATTTCTTCCTAACAGTTTTATTAATTTTATAATGCAGTTTTAGTTGATGACATATTAAGCTGTTATTAATTAATCATATCCAAGTATAAAGTATTTCAGGATTTCACTACTGAAAAGCTACCTGAGACAGGGACACTGTAGAAGAATGTGGAATATTGGAAGGATGAGGGATGGAAGTAGCATAATACAGAGTATGTGCAAGCTCAGGGATCTAGCTGTCAGGTAGGAAAAACTTTTTCTCTACCCTCTTATATTCAGTATATGGGGACCTTCAAATTAAACTAACCAAAGACAGATCAGCAAAAGAAAATGCACATTATTTTGTTAACATTTGCATGCTTGAGTGTTCACAGGAAAGAAGTGAAACTTAAAGAAGTGATTAAAGTTGAGTGGTTATGGAACCTTTCCTTTTAACAAAGGAAAAAAGGTTTGGATTTCAAAGTATGATAAATTGTGGGGAAGTGAGTAGGAAGTGCTTGGTAGGAACTAATGGAATATGAGGCTGTTTTGGTAAGGTCTATTTATGCAGACTCACCATCTTTGATAAGACTTTCAGGTAGATAAGGGGAATACAGAGATCTCTTCCTGTATCTTTTGATTCTCAATTGCTTTCAGCTCAAAATAATCCTTAGGTCAAAGTAACATATTTTGAATAGCATATTCTGATCTCCTTCAGAGGCAAGTGAAGGGGGTGATGCATACAATTAGATGGCTTTAAAGACCCCAAGGCTATAAATTATATAGTTCCATAACATTCACCTAATACTGAACCTAATCCTTAAAATGGGAATGTTGGGTGACTACTGTCTTAATGAATAGACATATGACTTTATTCAATCAATTTGAGGGCATAATTGTATCCAGACTTTATGGGATTGTGGTTTGCCTTGGTTGATGTGGCTTATACAATTAATACCTATACCTGAGTACGGGTCCACTGGGCCTAAGCTGAAATCCAAACATATCCAGGCATGTTTCTGGTAGGGTGATAACAAGACCCTAGAAGGTAATTTGTTTGAATTGAGGAGTTTGGAATGGATATAGAAATAAAATGTTTGGTAGCTTGCAGGCATTTGACTGGGCACTGTGGTAAAGCCTACATAAACAGATACTGAAAGAGCTGTTATTCTGGAGGGCTTTTGTTGCTGTGGGGTATAGTTGAGAAAGTACAATTTACTCTTAAACACGCTTTAAATTTTACCTGTAGACCATGCATAGTGACTCATGCCTTTAATCCCAGCACTTTGAGAGGCCAAGGCAGGCAGATCACAAGGTCAGGAGTTGGAGATCAGCCTGGCCAACATGGTGAAACCCCGACTTTACTAAAAATACAAAAATTAGCTGGGCATGGTGGTGTGTGCCTGTAATCTCTGCTACTCAGGAGGCTGAGGCTGGAGAATTGCTTGAACTGGGGAGGTGGAGAGGTTGCTGTGAGCCAAGACCATGCCATTGCACTCCAGTCTGGGTGACAGAATGAGACTCTGTCTCAAAAAAAAAAAAAAAAATTTACTATGTACTTTGTGATATACTAGCAACCTCTTTAATATCTAGAGATGAAATATTACAAAATCAGGACTCATTTGTCCATTATATACAGCATATATGCAGCAAAACAAAATGCAAAAAACATACGAAAAAATAGTGTCTGAAAATATTCTAGTATGAACATACTAGCCTATTACCCTTTGCAATTCCTTCCCTCCTACCTCTTCTAAACATTTGAACAGGTATAATACTATACTGATCACAGAGGTGGTTTAACAATTTCATTTCATTTGAATTTTAGCAAAAGGATATCTACAAAGTGATATTTTACTACCTCTGCATTTAATATATGTTGGCACTTCTAAAGATCTAGGTAGACTAGATGTTTTAGACAAGGAATTAATTTGTCCGCTATTTACACAGCAGTCTTGAATAAACTGCACACATATAACAATAGTTATAATTTGAAAGAGACTTCTTTCAAATTATAATTATAATTTGAAAATTATAAACATTCTGACAGAACCTTCCCATTTCCATCGACCCAGTAGGTTATAATGCTCAGATTTTCATTAGAGAATCTTTCTCAGAAATTTTAAAACAAAATATACAAAAGATATTAGTTTAACGTACACTGATAACCTCTTTAACATCTAGAAAGACTAGGTGTTCTAAATTAGGACTCATTTGTCCTTTGTATACACTATGTACACAGATAAATAAAACAAATATGCAGACATAAGGGGTGATGGTTAATTTTGCCTCACTTTAAGCACAACAGCACAGAGCTCTTCTCTCTTTCTTCTCCTCCCTCCTCCCTTGAACCAATGCTCAAACACAATGTATATTACTTAAGACGTGGTTTGGTCATTCCCTGCCCTGCCCCTACCCCCACTCCCCACACCCTGCTGCCCTAAACCAACATACCATGTGAATTTTAACAAAAATATATTTATGAAATGTAAAATATACTTTATTGGACAGTGTAATCCTTATTTTACTTTGCTTTCACATATACTCTGGGGCAATTAGTTAGCATTTGAAATACATGGTGGGTGGTTTGCACTTGAAAGCATTTTTTATTATAAAATATTGCTGTTTTTGGAGGGCGGGGTGGAGTCTTGCTCTGTTGCCCAGGCTGGAGTGCAGTGGTGCAATCTTGGCTCACTGAAACCTCTGCCTCCCGGGTTTAAGCAATTCTCTGCCTCAGCCTCCTGAGTAGCTGGGATTACAGGTGCCCGCCACCATGCCTGGCTAATTTTTTTTTGTATTTTTACTAGAGACTGGGTTTCCTCATCTTGGTCAGGCTGGTCTTGAACTTGACCTCATGATCCACCCGCCTCAGCCTCTCAAAGTGCTGGGATTATAGGGGTGAGCCACCACACCTGGCCTAAAATGTTGCTAATTTTTAAGATGTGAAAATGATTTTAAGATGTGGTTATGTTATCTTTTAGAGCTTCATACTAATATGTCTGTGGATAAAATGATATGATATTTGGATTTGCTTCAAAGTAAGTCATTGCTTGGGTTGGGTATGAGGGGAGAGGAAGAGTGGCTGGATAGAGATGAATAAGATTGACCTGGGATTAATAATTGTCACAGGTGGGTGATAGGTTAAGGGCAGTTATTACCCTAGTCTCTAGTTTAGAATATACTTGAGATTTCCATAATTAAACCTATTTTTAATGCATAAAACAATAAAAATAAGTATATGAAAGAACCTACTTACTGCAAGCACTCTGTTTCTGATTAGCCCTGAAGGACAGGTAATTAAGGTAAAGGATAGTAGAAATTATTTTCCTTTTGCTGAAACAATAGCTGTTTATAAAGTGTGAATTAGTAGAATATTGTGAGGCGTCTCCAATGTCACAGGTATAGGATTTAAGAATCTGGCAAAGGGCGTTTCCGGTGGCAGGGTCTGGGAAAGGGGCGGCAGGCACCATGTCCGGCCGGGAAGGTGGCAAGAAGAAGCCCCTGAAACAGCCCAAGAAGCAGGCCAAGGAGATGGACGAGGAAGATAAGGCTTTCAAGCAGAAACAAAAAGAAGAGCAGAAGATACTCGAAGAGCTAAAAGCAAAGGCCGCGGGGAAGGGGCCCCTGGCCACAGGTGGAATTAAGAAATCTGGCAAAAAGTAAGCTGTTCCTTGTCCCTGAGGAGATGGGGACCCTTTATTTCATCCGTATTTAAACATCTGTATTCCCTGCCATAGATCTTTTGCCACCTATAGCTGGAATTAAGTGTTGTCTTGGAGCTGTTGTACATTTAAGAATAAACTTTTGTATTTAAAAAAAAAAAAAAAAAGGAATCTGGCAAAGGTAGTAGACTCCCCTTCGGACTGGGGTTCTAAACCTAGGGTATACTGGGTCTCTTGTCAAGTGCTTAATGGAGGATTTTACCTTGAGTCTGATCAGAGGGGAGCCGTACCTGCCTGCTACCAGAATACTGTCTATATTAGTCTGTTTTTGCATTGCTATAAATAAATACCTGAGACTGGATAATTTATAAAGAAAAGAGTTTTAATTTTTCAGTTCTGCAGGCTGTACAGGAATCATAGCAGTGTCTGCTCCTGGAAAGGCCTCAGGGAGCTTTTACTCATGGTGGATGGCAAAGTGCCAGCCAGGATCTTGTCTGGCAGGTGCAGGAGAAGAGAGAGAGGGGGAAGGTGCTACACATTTTTTAAACAACCAGACCTCATGAGAACTCACTCTCTATAAAGCACCAAGGGAGGTGATTCTTATTCATGAGATCTTTGCCCATGATCCAATCACCTCTCACTAGGTCCTACCTCCAGCAATGGGGATCACATTTCAACATGAGATTTGGGTGGGACACAGATTGAAACCACATCATTCTTCCTTTGGCCCCTTCCAAATCTCATATCCTTCTCACACTTCAAAATACAATTATGCCTTCTCAACATTCCCCCAAAGTCTTGCCTCATTCCAGTATTAAAAGTCCAAAGTGTCATCTGAGACAAGGCTAGTCCCTTCCACCTATGAGTCTGTGAAATAAAAAACAAGTTAGTCATTTTCAAGATACAATGGAGGTATAGGTATTGGGTAAATACTCCTATCGCAAAAGGGAGAAATTGGCCACAAAAAAAAGGGGCTATAGACCCATACAAATCTGAAACCCAGCAGGGAAGTCATTAAATCTTAAAGCTCCAAAATAGCCTCCTTTGACACTGTGTCTCACATCCAGGGCATTTTGGTGCAAGGAGTGGGCTCCCAAGGCCTTGGGCAGCTCTGTCCCCGTGGCTTTGCAGGGTTTAGTCCCCACAGTTGCTCTCAAGGGCTGGCGTTGAGTGCCTGAAGCTTTTCCAGGCACAGAGTTTAAGCTGCTGGTGGATCGATCATTCTGGGGCTTGGAGGATAATGGCACTCTTCTCACAACTCTGCTAGGCAGTACCCCAGAAGGGACTCTGTGTGTGAGGGCTCCGACTCCACATTTCTCCTCTATACTGTCCTAGTAGGTGTTCTTTGTGAGGGCTCTGCTCCTGCAGCAGGCTTCTGCCTGGACATCCAGGTTTTCCCATACATCTTCTGAAATCTAGATAGAAGTTCCCAAGCCTTGACTTTTGCATTCTGTGTACCTACAGGCTTAACACCAAGTGGAAGTCACCAAGGCTTATGGCTTGCACCTTCTGAAGCAGTATCCCAAGCTGTATGTGGACCCTTTTTAGCCACAACAGGAGCTGGAGTGGCCTGGATACAAGAAGCAGTATCCTGATGCTGCTCAGGGTAGTGAGATCCTAGGCCTGGCTCAGGAAATCATTTTTCCCTCCTAGACCTCTGGGTCTGGGATGAGAGGGGCTGCCAAGAAGGTCCTAAAATACCTTTGAGATCCCTTCCTCATATCCCTAATGTTAGCACTTGGCTCCTGTTTACTTATGCAAGTATCTGCAGCTTGCTTGAATTCCTCATCTAAAAAATGGGCTTTTTTTTTTTTCCTACCAGATGGCTAGGTTGCAAATTTTCCAAACTTTTATGCCTTACTTCTCCATTAAATAGAATTTCCAGTTTTAGGTCATTTATTTGCTCACACATATGTGCATAGGTTGTTAGCAGCAGGCAGGCCACATCTTGAATGCTTTGCTGCTTACAAATTTCTTCTGCCAAATACCCTAACTCATCATTCTCAAGTTCAAAGTTTCATAGATTCCCTAGGGCAGGGGCACAGTCCAACAACCTCTTTGCCAAGGTGTAACACAAGCGACCATTGCTCCCATTCCCAATAAGTTCCTCATCTTCATCTGAGACTCCCTCAGCTAGGTCTTTGCTGCTCATATCATGACCAGCATTTTGGTCACACCATTCAACAAGTCTCTAGGAAGTTCTAAAATTTTCCTCATCTTCCTATTTTTTTTTCTGAGCCCTCCAAACTGTTTAAACTTCTGCCTATTAACCAGTTCCAAAGCTGCTTCCACATTTTCAGGCATCTTTATAGCAATGCCCCACCCCTAAGTGCCAATTTTCTGTAGTAGGCCTGTCTCACATTGCTATAAAGATATACCAAAGACTGGGTAATTTATAAAGAAAAGAGGTTTAAGTGGCTCATGGTTCTGCAGGCTGTACAGGAAGCATGGCGGCATCTACTTCTCGGAGGCCACAGAAAGCTTTTACTCATGGCCGAAGGCAAAGTGGGAGCAGGCATTTTACATGCAGGAGCAGGAGAAGAGAGAGAGGAGGGAGGTGCTACACGTTTTTAAACAACCAGATCTTGTGAGAACTCACTCACTATACAGTACCAAGCGGGGATGGTGCTAAACTGTTCATGAGAGCTTTGCCCCATGAGCCAACCACCTCCCACCAGGCCCCACCTCCAGCACTGGGGATTACATTTGACTATGATACTTGGATGGGGCATTCATCCAGACTATATCACTGTCCCACGTGCTGCTAGTGAAATTTGCAGGCAACAGTCTTTTCAGAGGCCAAAATCGTCAGTGCACTAAGTGCACTGAAGCGTATTGAGTTTAAGAACAAACTCCATGACTGTTGCACCTGCTTGAAAATGAATGTTTATGTGTTTGCCAGATTTGATCATATGGTCTATGAGAGAGGTTGATGGCAAGGAGAACGCTAGGCCTCACCCACCCTTAACTACAGACACAGGGAGTTTTAAATAGCCACTTTGGTTTGGACTGGGCTTATCCTTGGGGCATCCTCCTACTTTGGCGTTAGGCACAGCATGTCTGCCACACAGCGAGGGCTCAGGAATACCTGGACAACAGCAGCTCATCAAGAGTGGTGTCTGTGTAAGCCCAGGGCCAGCACCCTGCTGCAGCCTGCCGCATCCACCTCTGCTTAGGCCTCCCACAAGTGGGAGGGAGTGGAACGAAAAAGGAGTGGGCACATTGAGAGCATTGTTGATAACCCCTGATGCTGCCTAGTGACCCACAGAACAATCTGAAGAAAATAGAATTTTGGAAAGGGGTCCTAAAGGGTGTGGGTAGTAACAAGAGTGAATGAATTGGTGTAATTACTCTTGATATGACTCCCATGTGTACCCTTAGCTTTATAAGGCTTTGGCAAACTTGTGTTACACAGATTAATATGAGTTTGTTTTCTTTCTTTCTTTTTTTTTTTTGAGACAGAGTCTTGCTTTGTTGCCCAGGCTTGAGTGCAGCGGTGCAATCTCAGCTCACTGCAACCTCCTCCTCCTGGGTTCAAGTGATTCTCCTGCCTCGGCCTCCCAAGTAGCTGAGACTACAAGCATGCGCCACCAGGCCTGGCTAATTTTTGCATTTTTAGTAGAGATGGGGTTTCACCATGTTGGCCAGGCTGGTCTCAAACTCCTGACCTCAAATGATCAGCCCACCTTGGCCTCCCAAAGTGCTGGGATTACAGGTATGAGCCACCATGCCTGACAAAAAAGAGTTTCTTGTTCATCTGTACATTGTAACTAATTTAAAAAATGTGTGTGTGTGTGTGTGTGTGTGTGTGTGTGTGTGTGTGTGTGTGTATTTTATGTAAAGTCATGTATGGCTGAGTGATGGGGATACATTCTGAAAAATGCATCCGTGGGCGATTTTGTGATTGTCAAACATCACAGAGTGTACTTGCACAAACCTAGATGGTATAATCTACTGTACACTTAGCCTTTATGGTATAGCCTATCGTTCCTAGGCTACCAGCCTGTACAGCCTGTGACTGCTGAATACTGTAGGCAATTGTAACATAATGGCATTTGTGCATTTAAACCTATCAAAACATAAAAAGCAAACCTGAACAGTTGTCATACAGTACAAGAGATAAAAAACGCTACACCTGTAGAGGGCATGTACTATGATTAAAGCTTGCAGGGCTGGACGTTTTTCTAGGTGGGTGAGCGAGTGAGTGGTGAGTGAAGGTGAGGGCCTAGGACATGACTGTACACCACTGCAGACTTTATAAACACTGTACGCTTGGGCTAAGCTAAATTTATAAAAATATTTTTCTTGCTTTAATAGTAATTAACCTTAGCTCACTGTAACTTTTTTACTTCGTAAACTTAAAACATTTTTAAAACGCTTTTTGACTCTCGAAATAACACTTAAAACATAAACACCTTGTACAACGATACAAATGTATGTTCTCTCCTTATATTCTTATTCTGTAAGCTTTTTAAAATTTCATTGTTTTTACTTTTTAAACTTTTGTGTTAAAAATGAAGACACAAACACACATTAGCCTAGGGCGACACAGAGTCAGGGTCATCAGGGTCACATTTTCCAGCCTCTACGTCTTGTCCCACTGGGAGGTCTTCATGGGCAATAACACACATGGAGCTGTCATCTCCTGTGATAACAGTGCCCGCTTCTGAACTAGAATACCTCCTGAAAGACCTGCCTTAGGATGTTTTACAATTAACTTTTTCTTTAAATAAGTGGAAATATTCTCTAAAATAACCATAGAAGTATAGTATAGTCAGTTATTGTCTTTATCAATATTATGTACTGTACATAATTGTATGCAGTATACTTTTTGTTTTTTTGAGATGGAGTCTTTCTCTGTCACCCAAGCTGGCAAGCAGTGGTGTGATTGTGCCCCGTTGCAAACTCCGCCTTTCAGGTTCAAGCGATTCTCCTGCCTCAGCCGCTCGAGTTGCCTGGATTACAGGCACCTGCCGCCATGTCTGGCTAATTTTTGCAGTTTTAGTAGAGACAGGGTTTCACTATGTTGGCCAGGCTTGTCTTGAGCTCCTGACCTCAGGTGATCTCATCTTCCTAAAGTGTTGAGATTGCAGGTGTGAGCCACCACGCTTGGCTATATGTGGTATACTTTTATGCACATACTTCATAAAAGTATGTGATAT